CGTGAGATACCAGGAGAGATAGCCGATCAAAATCAAGGACAAAGCAGTGCGACAAAGATAGCAAGATAAGTTTCCATCATGATCATTGCCATTGTTGTTTTGTATGTGGTTTTTTGATTTCCTTATGACATAAACTTCGCTTTAACATCTTTAGGCTTCGTAGAAGTAAAGTCTAGCGTTGAAGGATTTCTAACTACGTTAGCAATTACGTAGAGCGGTACAAATCCTTACATTTATCTTACCTTTAATCAACAATTTCGACATGCCTTCAGAAAAAGTCTTCCAAACTGTTTTCGAAGAATCAAGATTTACCAGGTTCCTCCCTTTCGATCTCAAAGCGTAGAATTGGAGCAGATACCAAACGCAGAACAGGCGACTGAAACGCAACTTGTGGGCCGTTATAAAATATTGCAATTACTTTGTAGATGACTTCTACAGCCATGATTACTTGCATGTAAAAGCTTTGCATAGAGTCTGTATTATGTTACTTAGACTGTTAGTACATCTCTGACAATTTTCAAGATTTTCAAAATCCCCACCATGAAAACAACAACGATTATATCATTTGGATCACTTAAATGATTAATTGAAACGACCAAAGCTCTGCAAAATGCATTTGTCAAATTTAGATCATTCGAAACTTAAACATAAGAAAGTAAAGTCTAGCGTTGAAGGATTTCTAACTACGTTAGCAATTACGTAGAGCGGTACAAATCCTTACATTTATCTTACCTTTAATCAACAATTTCGACATGCCTTCAGAAAAAGTCTTCCAAACTGTTTTCGAAGAATCAAGATTTACCAGGTTCCTCCCTTTCGATCTCAAAGCGTAGAATTGGAGAATGCATTTGACAAAAAATATTGTAAGAAAGCAAGATGACCTGGAAATGAATAACGACCTTTCCCATGCACCCCTGTTGTTAAAAATCAAGCCAGTAAGTGACTTACGCCTTGTTCTAATTTGACTAAAGAGCTGAGACAATACAGCGAGGATACTACTTATTCAAATGAAATATTACCTATCCTTGACATCTTTTCTGCTAATACAAGGTAATGTAGGCTGGTTAAAATATTTTCTCCAGATAGCTCGTTAGAGTCGAATATCAAAGTATTGAAGTGTAACTTTTGTTATATTTTGTTACACAATTCTATACTGTTTAGTACTATTTCTGGTTACGCAAGTAAAAAAAAACTGTATTAGCAAAATTATAGAAATGCATTAAATTCAAAAGAGAAAATCTTCCCGCCTAAATCCACCATGGTTCTTAATTCGAGCAGGATACGCACCCACTGTTTCTTGAGCTTGAGTCATTTCTTTTAAATAACAATTCAGAGTCTGTTCGAGGCAGTGACTCCTGAATCTCCTTGCAAAAATGCGCACATTGGCGACCTGTTCCTATGGCCGAGATTATAAACATACCCTGTAGATGTGCCGGTACTAGTTGAACAAACATGCTTTTTCGCCAAACACTTCCAAATGAATGCAATCTGGCATTAGCATAAACCTGACTACGGAACAATCGTAAATAAATATTTGCTGTGGCTGGATAGCTTCTACAGGTATATAAGCGGGTAAAGAGTGAATCAAATGGGAAAACGGATATCTCCTGGAAATCAGAACAGTAAGTTTTATCAACCCTAAACGGCCAATTTGGACCCTTACTTGTCTTATTCAGGGCATTTCAGGGCACGCAAACATTCAAATTTGCCGCTTCAACGCCATGACTAATAAAAAATGTGATGAGCTGGATGAGATCACAAATGATCAAATAAGTTGTGACAAGGATTGCCAAAGGGGTAAAACGACATTTTAAGAAAATGTGTCAACGAGAAGTTTCTTGTTTTTGTACGTAGCTTTAAGCACGACTGAAAGAGGATTTTATATGGCCTTAAGGGAATACGAATTCTATCTTCGATAGTTCATAGTCCTTGTATCTATTATAAGTGACAGATATCGGATCATATTTTAGAGACAGGAGCGATCCTGGCGTTTCACCAATTAATGTCTATTAATGAGACCCAGTAATTCCAAAGTTCTCGGTGATTTAAAACAAATTCGACATTTCTTGCACGGAAGACAGGTGTTAGAGCACCTAAACATTTTAACATAAAAACGGAATGTTTTTTATTTAAAATGTTTTGCAAAGTATCTCTCAAATATCTGGCGCGCTCATTGGCTAACTGTTGTCATATATAAGAATACGGGCGGACACAAATTATAAGTGCTGTCAACAATAATTTTAGCTGAAGTTTGCCTAAATTTTGCTCATCATATCATTTGAGTGCGGTGAAACCCCTCCCTGGAAGTTCCCAAATAGCTGTTGCTCGAGATAGGCTGTTCATCGGTTGGAAAAGAACTTATTGAACTGAGAAACAAATATCAGAGTGAGGTAAGTTAAGGCGGTAGTAGTTCCAAATACTCTTGGAAAGATTCCTTGAGGAGGTAGAAGAGAATTTATCTCGTATAATCGAATTGCGAGTTATAATACGTAGTAGCAATATCATTCTTAACGGCTAATCTTCACACTTTTCAAAAATCCACGGCATGCAAACATTGGCCCCTAATGATAATTTTAAACAAGATAATAAAGTGAAATCGAATTGGGAGTTATAATGCCTGGCAACAATATCATTTCTTAACGGTTAATCTTCACACTTTTCACAAATGAGGTACCGCAAGCAAATATTGGCCTCTAAACTGATGTCACTATAAACAAGATAATAAATTCAGCTTTTTTGTGCGCTTATTTCATGTAATTGATAACTTTTACATAAATTCGCACAACAAAAGCAATCATTGGTGTAGATCACTCAATACAACTCCCTGAAAGAGTGGAGGTCCGTCAGTTACGTTGCGACCGAACAGGGTTTGTAAGGTGCAAATTTAACTCTTTGAAACCAATAATTTATGAACTAAAGAATTTAGGCTTTCCTTTCCTTTATTGTCTTTTACAGAACCGCCATAAATTGAAGGAAATGAAGAGCACGTTTCAGGCAAGCAACATCACATTTAGTCTTGAGTCCCTCTCACACGAGGCGATGGCAGGTATTTAATTCAATTAGCATCATCAAGGCAAGCAATCCTCGCACTGGGCGTTCTACCGAAATAATATCGCAAGGCGAAAAAGGCTATCAAGGAAACGATCCCTTAGTTTATAGAAACTTAACTTTGCTTGGTTCATCAAGCTATTTTTTTTTTCTTTCACATAAACATTATTAGAGAATGAAAAATTCCATCTTTACCAGTTTGCATTGCGGCGTCAAAAGGCCACGTTCAGTTCTCGTGCTCGCTACTCAAACAAGGAATACCACGGAGAGAAAAACAGCTTATTAGGTTATTCGTTTATGAAAGTGAACTTAAATTACTGTAGCCAGAAAGACATAATGGATCTCGATATTTAAGAAAACAGAAACAAATGCAAATGTACGAAAAAAAAAAAAGAGCTGGATTCGTGCTCTGCATTGTTATTAATAAAGAAAAATACTATAATTGATGTACAGTGCCCTGTTACTACCTAAGGTGGTGTATAAATGAAACTATTTTAAAACCTAAATTATTCTTATTTGAAATTGGACTTAAAGTCTCCGTCAATTTTCCCCACGTAACGATAATTATGTCTTGAAAAAAATAATTAATTTAAACGGTAGCATTCAGCAGGGGTTTGTGGTTTGCAGGTGGATCCTCATATAGTCAAATCAGTTATAGCACAAAATGTTTCCAATCATTTATTGTTTACCGCTTTCTGACTGAATTGGAAACACGTGAATCACTGGTGTTGATGATTTAAATTTCTTGAGTTGAGTTGAGTTTCGCTTCGCTTCGTTTAAAAGGTTGATGAATGAAGCTACCGAATATATTGTTGTTTCACTTTCAATTACAAAGTGAATAAGTCAATAAGTCGTGCACCTCTCAATTAGATGATGGACCAAGGCCAAGAAAAACATTTGCAACGAAAAACATCTGATCCTATGACAGAGTTTCGTTATACTGTTGGACATTATTAATATATGAAGTATGTTTACGATTCCTACATCGGAGTAAGGATCAAAACACAATGAATAAAAAAGGATCAGCCTGATCATGATTGTCGAATGAATTTCAACCGAAGACAGGTGTTAAATGACAAAACTGATAAGGTTGTGAGCGTATCTGTCAGAATACTAGTCCACTCATGGGCCAGCTTTCGACATCACTACGAGCATAAACACGGGAATAGATCCCTCGTTTTTACCATTTTCAAAGTCGAACAAAGTACAATATGATGAAACAGAGACAGATACAGGGTAAGTTCTCCATTGGATATTTCAATGGTGTCAGTGAGTCAAAATTTGCTGGTAAACTAAATATAATGATGTTCCTTTTCTCAACGAAAATACTAGGCAAAAGCGAAAATAACATGAAAAAGCTGTTGTTAATCACTGCGGTGGACCTATCGTTATCGATTTTAGTGCATGGAAGTTGAAGAAACAAAATGTCTATTTTGCTATATTCATTTTGATGATCAGAAAGATTCCCCTGATAAGCAGCAGTTGGGAATGTGATTCAAAATTTGTTTCTAAGAAAAAAGTAGATTGAAGGTTGTAGTTCATGCGATCTGTAAATTAAAGGTCTAGTAACTTCAGCTTGTCTCGCAATTTTGACAAATCATTCTATCACCTCAGGCTCGTGTGAATCATTGTAAGCGCTATGCTTGAGCCATGCAGGTTTATACAAACGGCAGATGGTTTTGAAAAGGGGCATTCGTTGATCTTCTTTAAGTTCGAAACAACAAGGTTCGTTGGTTGAACATAACGATGAGTAGCTTTACACCATATCACTGGACAATGATTGAGATATCTAATCGCTCAAGGATCTTAAATGTTCGAAAATTAAGCTAATTGAACATCTAAATCTTTCTCGGGTTACGACATGGGACAACGAGGGCGCGCAACTTTCACTGCAACGTGTCAGAAAAAGTTCTTAAAATATTTCAAAAAAGGTAGTCTTAACATTTCAAAGA